TTATTCTCGTGAAAAAGCATGACCGATCGAAAAAATTCTCACCTGAAAAGCATCTGTTGACCTCGATATTTCATCCGCACAAAGATTCAAAACGTCAATCGTTCATAGATGATGAATTGGAAATAAAAGAGATTATCGTGATTGAAATTGAAGAGCATCGAAGTTTACATTTACTGGATCAAGAAGATAAGGAAATTTACGAGAGAATAAAATACTGGATGAAAGAGAACCCAGAAGCAAGTCTGCTGGATACGGTGAATCAATTTTGTGAGTCTTAATTCTAGAGATCAATGATTAGCACTTCTCTTTTACCAATTACTTGATGTATTTCGAACGCACATTCAACCAGCGTCCGAACCTAATGGAGACGCTATAGCAAAGATCCTACATAATTTTCAATTTCCGGACTATATACTAAAATTTACACGTGAAGAACATGAAAAACGGAGCGTAGAAAAGCAAACTAAAAGACGAAATTTTGAGAGGTTATTACTAAGAGCCGGTCTTGTAATTGAAGTGGAAAATGATGCAGTAAACAAAGAAGACTTTTTTGTAAAGATATATGCACCATTTCAGAAGTTATGTGAACAAGCACAACAGATTAAATTAAAGATGAGATTAAATGTAAGTTCAAAAAATGGAATAAAAATAAAAAATCCAATTTTACCTTCATGTATTAAACAAACATATCTCTCATCTAATTAATAGATCAGGGATTCGGTGGATCTTGATATTAATATGAAAAAAGAACCAAGTTTTTATTCAAGCATCAGTAAACATTTTACATATAAAATAAATCTTGATAAACAAGCCGCATTTTTCAGGGTGAGCAAATTGAGACAATTTGAAGGTGCCGAACCAGAAAAATCAATGGGAGAAATAATGCTGAATTTTTTTTCCATGTCACGAAGAAATCTAATGGTAAGTGCACGCGTGGTGCTGGTCGGCATCGACGTAAGGTAACATATCTTTGCATCACCACTGTAGGTTCACAGAATGT